TGCCTCCCTTTCCTACGTCAACATGTCAAGGAAGGTGATTGCCTATCATGAAAATTCAAGGGAAAAGAGTGTCTCTAACTTCAGAGGAAATAACTTGATTTTTAAATATGTGCAACACTCCATTTAATGTGTCTAGGCTTAAAGCTGCAATGCTGAGTAGTCCAACTGAATGTGTAGCCCATTCTTTCAAATATTTTACCCAGTATCACGGATCTGCCATTACACAAACATGAGAATTTTAAGCTGAGCATGATATCACATGCCTGTAACCTTAGCTACTTGGGAGGCAGAGGCTGGGAGGAATGCTGTTGGAGGCCATCCTGGGCAGAAACTTCTCTAAGACCCACATCTCAACAACAGCCACAGCCTCATGCCGTGGCCTGTGCTGTCATTCTAGCTACACAGGAGGAGGAGGAAGAGGAGCAAGGTCTAGGCCAGAAAGCCAGTACCCTGCCTAAAAAATGACTAAAGCAAAAAGGGCTAAGGGCATGCATGACTCAAGTGACAGAGAACCTGCCTAGCAAGTACAAAGTCCTGAGGTCAAATCCCAGCATTGCTGTTATTTTTTTTTAAGGGAATGTTGTAGCTGATTGACTTTAGCTATTCACAGACTGTGTGTAAAGACAAATGCATACTGCTCTGGTCTTTGGTACGGAGATGGACACTGCATCCCATAGCCTGTTGGTTCAGCAAAGGCCATTTGAAACCTGCTATTTGGGGGTGGAATGTTGTTTTCTTTCTCATTTGTTAAATGGCTGTATCTTTATATGATGGGGGTGTATTTATTTGGAACAAAAGGGTTATAATTATATTTTTTAAAAAAGAAAAACAGCGGATGCCAGTGGCTCACGCCTGTAATCCTAGCTACTGAGGAGGCTGAGATCTGAGGATCGTGGTTCAAAGCCAGCCTGGGCAGAAAAGTCCGTGAAACTCTTATCTCCAATAAACCACTAGAAAACCGGAAGTGGCGCTGTGGCTCAAGCGGTAGAGCACTCACCTTCAGCTGAAGAGCTGAGGGACAGCGCCCAAGCCCAGAGTTCAAGCCCCATGACCTACAAAAAAGAAAAGAAAAGAAGAAAAGAAAAGAAAAGGCAAGCAAGCACACCTAACTGTATTACCAAATGCCTTGTGCACTCCCTGTAACTGTGCTTTTCTGGCTGAGAGCCGGCCCCTCCCCCTGCAGCTCCGGCACCGTTGTAATTAGTTTATTTCATTCCAGGAGCATCTTCCATTGAAATGACTCATCAATGACTTAATAAAGAGAAATTGTCCTCAGTTCACCCTGAGCCGTGGTCTATTCAACGCTTGAGTGCTGTCTGTTCCCACAATCTATTTCTCAGAAGTTGCTCTGGTCATTACAGTTTCCTAAGTATCCATTAAGCCTGTGGTTCTTCTCTCAGAAAGCCAGAGTGGCTGCAAACTGAAGCCAGAAGATGTTGCAGAAACTCCCTTGGGTCTCCAATCCTTTCTGATCAGGAATCCAGCCTTGGAGCCACTAGTGAATGGAATGGACACAATGTATCATGCAATGAAGCCACAAGGGATACAATGTAGCCACAATGGATACAATGTATCTTTCCTCCCATTCTTCCCAGGCAATTAGAAATTAACAAGAGAAAAATCCAACAGTCAAGTTTTGTGTGACCTGGAAAACTCCCTAATAAAATGATCAAGCCTAGAGGGTTTTTTGCTTTGTTTTGGTTTGGTTTTTGTTGGTTGTGAGGCTTAGGTTGTGAGGGCCTGGGCGCTGTCCCTCAGCTCTTCAGCTCAAGGTGAATGCTCTACCACTTGAGCCACAGCTCCATTTCCGGTTTTTTAGTGCTTTAGTGGAGATAAGAGCCTCACGGACTTTCCTGCCCAGGCTGGCTTTGAACCATGATCCTCAGATCTCAGTCTCCTGAGTAGCTAGGATGACAGGTGTGATCACCGATGCCTGGCTAAGCCTGGAGGTTTTGGTGCTAAGTGTGATGAAGGGTGGACAACCAGGGAGGGTTGCAACAGTGAAGAGTGTGATTAACGGTGGTTAGCAGTGGGGAGACAGTGAGGCCCACTGGGGTCCACTCGGGGGCCTGTCTTTGGAGACAAGTGTCCCTCTCATCCAGGCTTAGGGAGGTCACCTCTCGGGTGAGAGTCCTGACCTGCTTTGGAGGAGGGCGGGGTCGGGGAGTGTCGGGGCCTGCCCTGGTCACTGCGGGGGCCTGCCCTGGTCACTGCGGAGGGGGCCTGCGCTGATCACTGCGGCGGGTGGGGGCCTGCCCTGGTCACTGAGGCGGGGGCCTGCCCTGGTCACTGTGGCCTGGCAGTGGCATTGGGAGCACAAGTCCTGAACCCCCGGTGGTCTTCTGCCACCAAGACCCACCTGGCTGGCCCTGGGTCGGGTGCACAGCATTAGGAAGAGGGGGCAGAGCCAGCTCGGACCCATTCCATCCCCCCAGGGCCCAGAGAGGCCAGCCTCAGCACAAAGACGTGAAGCTCATGGGATCTCCCAGTGTGGAGTTGGGAGAGATGGGGGGAGGGGGGGGATGGAAGGGGAAAATGGGGGGATGGGAGGGGGAGATGGGGGGGATGGAAGGGGTGGCATGGGTCCAGATGCATTGGACTCCAAAACTGACATGTTGGATTGAAACCCTTGGGGGGCTGGGAAGGTGGCTCAGTGGTAGAGTGCTTGCCTAGCACACATGAAGCCCTGGGTTCGATTCCTCAGTACCACAAACACAGAAAAACGGGGAAGTGGCACTGTGGCTAAAGTGGTAGAGCGCTAGCCTTGAGCAAAAGAAGCTCAGGGACAGCGCCCAGGCCCTGAGTTCAAGCCCCAGGACTGAGAAAGAAAGAACAGAAAGAAAGAGAGAGAGAGAGGGAGGGAGGAAGGAAGGAAGGAAGGAAGGAAGGAAGGAAGGAAGGAAGGAAGGAAGGAAGGAAGGAAGGAAGGAAGGAAAAGAAACCCTTTTGTACAATGACTTAAAACTTAATAATACACAAACTTGTGCCCAGGAGTAGGAGTTTTCCGCTGAGACCACCTCCTGCTGCCTTGGGGTCTGCCTGCTGAGGGCCGCAGTACTCTGCGCTCTGCCGGGGAGGAGGCTGCTGGCGGAGCCTTCTGGCTGCCTTCAGCACCCAGCAGATCCCAAGATCAGTTCACCTTCTGTCTGCACATCCAGAGAAAATCAGCCCAAGTACTTTGGACGGAAGTGTAAATCGGCAAAACACAGTGTGAGGGTGGGGAGGCATTGTTTGTATGTTTTGTTTTGTTTTACAGGTTTGATTTTTTTTTTAATTTGGGGGATGTTTTTTAAGCATGACTTTATTTAATTTTAATTTTAATTTGGAAGCTTTGGTAAGTGACACTGAGAAGTTGCAACCCCTGGATCTGGCCCTTTGTCTGGGAGGTCTTGAAGAATGAGGCCATGGACACAGAGGATGAAGTAAAATTGCCAAGATTTATTGAAGGAAAATGTCAGCAGCGCTCCCGCTGGACGGGAGGACTGGGGGGGGGAAGCACTGCTGGGGGGGAGGGGCAGTGGTGTAAGGGGGAGGGGGTCTCTAGGAGGGAGCTAGGTGACTTGTGACTCTCCAGACCATCAGACAGAGGCTGGGCACAGCCGGCACACAGCCCCGCATCCTCTTTAGCCTCTCTGGCTGAGTGCCCATCTGATGCACACCAGTTGGTCGCTCGTGCGCAAGTGTTCCTGGGGCAGTGGGCCATGGTGATGTGGTGTCCAGGACCAGCACCCAGGACTGCGCAAGGCCACGGTGAAGGACAGAACCTCTGTGCTGGAGGGGAGGGAGGCTTTGCCCTGATTACCTAGCCAGGCTCCTCTGCTCTCGAAAGTTGATGGAGGACCAACCATAATCTTCTATGTGAAGAAATAACACTCCATTTTGCCAAAGCACACTTGGAATATCATGTTAAATACAGACCTTGGACTGCAAATATCCTCCCCATATAACGGACGAGGAAATGGATTCTAAGACACAAGTCCTGAGCGCCACAGGCTCCATAGCTGCCACTGGCAAAGTCATCTGTCTTCCACTACACGCGAGCGCTCCTAGAACCCAACAACAACAACAATAACAGTAACTTCTAGCGTAGGACCCAATGAATTGCACCCTAAGTGTGAGATCGCAGTGACCTGTGCTGGGAAGTAAAGCCAGTCCACTTCTTTCCCCGGCCTGGGGAAAGGTCATGGTTCTCAACAGAAAGGTCTAGAAGCAAGTGTGGGCATACCTGTAATTCAAGAAAAACCCCAGGGCTTCCACATGTGGAAAACCCCTTGTTTGCTCTGACCTTAAGTCCACCCCTCTCAGCCTTTTCAAATAAATGTCTTCCTACACAAGCCAGTGTGGTCCTGGGAAATAGACATCTCAAATGGAGAGTCCACTCATTCTCCCCTTCTCTCGCTCATTGACAACCCATTTCAAATGTGCTCAGTTAACAAGAATGAAATAAACCAGTGCGTGTTCTTCTTAAAAAGAAGGGATAGATGTGTGTTTCATATCTGATCATGTCTTGGGGAGATAGGTATATACAAGATGGCTGAATCATGAAAAATGGAAGGAAGGGTAGCTGGATGGATGAATGAATGGGTGCATGGGTAAGTTGGCAGATGGATTGATGGGTAAAAAGATGGCTGGGTGGATGGATAGATGGATGAGAAGATGGATAGATGGATGGACAGAAGATGGAGATGACTGGTGGAGAGGTGGACGGATAATCATCATGAATAGATAATGCTACAAGTTTCAAAAATGAATAACTACTTGGATGACTGAATTTTGATCTCCACCAGGAACTGTTTCCAGAGTTGGAAATATAAAACGCTTGTGAAAACTAGGCAGGCATTACCAACTTACAAGCACCTAGACACTAGAGAAGTCAAGATAGAGCTGGCAGGCACCACACAGGACATCCGTAACCCTCTCACCTCTCCTCCCCCGCCCTGCCTGCCCTGCGCTCAGTCACCAGCACCAGCGCAGAGCTCACACTTCTCCATGATCAAAGGGACACTTGTGGTCCCCAAAATGTTCCACCAGGAGGTGTTTGGGGGGCAGCTAAGTAAGAGGGGGCTCTCATAGCAGAGGGAGGAGCTATCCCACGTGGTGGGACCGAGCGACTGGGTCCTCCTTCAAAAGGAAGGGCTCTCGCTTTCCTTCAGGGTCTACAGGAAGCTGGCCGCGTCCCCTCCCCTCCCACCATGTGGCTGGTCGTCTTCAGCGCGCTGTTTTGGTTTCCCTTACAAGGTAAGCGCTCAGAGCCAATGTTTTTCTTGCTCAGCTGAATCTACCTGTGGGTCAGGCAGCAGCATTCACACAGCTGGAGTCGCCCTTCTCACTAATGTGCTTAGAACCATGCCCAGACCACGCATCAAAGGGAAGTTACTGCCTTTGTGTCTCCTCTGGTTCAGCTGCTAAAGGACACAGTAGGGGAAAGAACAGTGTGTGTGTGTGTGTGTGTGTGTGAGAGAGAGAGAGAGATCTATGGTGGCAAACGGTAAAAGGTTTCCTAGGGGTTCTTGTTAGGATTTACCAATTAAGAGCTCCAATTTACCAATTAAAAGATTTTTAAAACTTCTTTCTGTGTATGTCTTAGCTAAACAATTTGTGTGGGGGTTCCCCCTAAAAACCAATTTTTGTATCTTAAAGAAGATGGTAACAAATATGATTTGCTCAAGCAAACATCCGGATTATGATAAGGATCAAGTTTCAGATGTGAAAGTGCTTTCAAAATGTTAACATTCTTACTGTGTTCTTCCTTCCTTCCTGTTTTCTTTTTTCTGCCAGTAATGGGACTTGAACTTGGGGCCTGGGCTCTGTCCCTTAGTTTTTCTGCTCAAGGCTGGCATTCTACCACTTGGGCCACAGCTCCACTTCTGACCTATTGGTGGTTAATTGGAGATAATAGTTTCATAGCCTTTCCTGTCTGGACTGGCTTCCAACTGCAGTCCTCAGATCTCAGTCTCCTGAGTAGCGATGACTACAGCTATGAACCACCAGTGCCCACTGGGGCGTTTTCTGATTTCTAGAAGAAATATGTAATAAATGGTTGAATGAGTGAAGTTGCGTTGAGAGCAAGTCCCTGCCACCTCGTCCACAGGACTCAGCCCCAGCAGGCTGACCACCGCCGCCATGCTCTTTCTCCACAGAGGCCCTGATGACTCACCACACGGGCACCGTCACTGTGGAGGAAGGCCAGCCGCTCACCCTCAAGTGCTCCACTTCTCTCCAGAAGAATGCCTCCCTCCAGTGGCAGGCCCCCTCGGGGTTCACCATCTTCTTCAATGAGCATCCTGGTAAGAGGAAGAAGGAAGGAAGGAAGGAAGGAAAGAAGGAAGGAAGGAAGGAAGGAAGGAAGGAAGGAAGGAAGGAAGGAAGGAAGGAAGGAAGGAAGGAAGGGAAAGAAATAAAGAGAGAAAGAATGGGAGAGAAAGAAAGAAGAGAAAGGGGCTGGGAGGGTGGCTCAGTGGGAGCTATGTAAAACAGCAGAAATCAAATATGCTTGCTCTTAAAAGGATTTTCATTTAGTTTGATACATAGTTTTTGAAAACTAAAACTTCAAACTTCATGTTGTTCTTTTTTGTACAATTATCAAAGATCTGGATTGAGGGGGCTGGGCAGGTGCCTCAGTGGTAGAGCACTTGCCTTGCATGTATGAGGCCCAGGGTTCGATTCCTCAGCACCACATAAGCAGAGAAATCCAGAAGGGGCTCTGTGGCTCAAGTGGTAGAGCACTCACCTTGAGTTGAAGAGCTGAGGGACAGTGTCCAGGCCCACAGTTCAAGCCCCATAACTGAAAAAGAAAAGAAAAGAAAGGAAGAGAGAGACAGACAGACAGAGACAGAGAGAGCGGGCGAGCGCTGGGGACTTCCAGCCAGGCAGGTAGTGGACAGAGAGTCCGTGTGAGTCACACAAAGGTGGGCTCAGCTACCTACCACCGCACATGAGTCAGCCTGGTGAAGCCTGTGTCTGACACATGGTTGTTCTTGGGGGGCAAACAGTCTGGAATGGAAACCCCAGCAGGAGTATTAAAGGGGACTCAAAATATACTTTCCATGGCCCCACCCCACCCCCACATCGCCTTTTGACTCTCTGTGGCCAAGAAACAGCCTAGAGCAAAAGGGGGAGTAGGTAGCAGGCTGACTTGGGGGGCTTTGTCCTTGTGCAGCCAGTGACACCCCACAGCCACAGCCAGCTGCTGAGTTGGCCACCTGAGCCATCCCAAGTCACATGACAGAGCTCCTTTCTGGATATTGAATCTTTCCCCATTGCTCTTCATATCAAGTCAGAATTTCTAAATGACAGAAATTGACAGGATGTATTTATTCCTTAAAGAAGAAGACACTCCTTCCTCACCTCATGATTGCACAGGGAGGAATTGTCTGGTGTCTGAGATGGAAAGAAACTCTCTAACGTCTATTCATTCATGTTAGACACTGGACAAGATTTTTACTAAGCATCTCCTTCATGATGAAACCATTTTACATCTCTAGTTAAAAAAAAATTCCTAATTGCTAAATGCTTTAAAAAAGTCCAAGTCAGCACATTCTATTCCGGTTTACAAAGCAGAGCCCCTAAAACATTGATAAGCTTTGCAAACATTATTAAATATTGATAGGTTACATATGAGATAGCGCAATGCATTATTTCAAACTATGTCAAAGGGTGTTTGGGAGAAAGGCTTTTGGCTGGTACTCTCTGGAGCTTGCTCTTATGTTTGCTAGTCACTAAAAATCTGGAAAGACTCGGTCATAATCTAGCTTCAACTAATCATAAAAAATTAAAAATCAAAACCACCTAATAGATGCATTCATCAACGCATTCTTGACATTTATGGTAACAAGATGACCTCAGAGAAATCCAATTTCAAAGAGGTAACTCACAGGGGACTTACCTAGAGAAAACACAATTTTAAATCCTCTGTGGCTTGACTGTGTCTCCAATGGAGCCATCTCTGTTTCCTACAAGGACGAGCAAAGGCCAGGTGCTCATTTCACAGATGCCGGGATGCAAATATTTCCTTCCTTAAGCTGCCTGCAGGCGCTGCCCCGCTGCCGGCGCCTGCGTTTGGAAGGCAGGGCCGCTGAGGGCATGGTGTGCGTTTCTTCCAAGCGTGGAGAGTGAAAGCGAGGCCTGTGGGTGAGCAGCCTGCACTTGCAGGGTCTCACTCTCCTCCTCACCCTTTGATTTCCCCTTTGGCAGCTTTGAAAGATTCCAGATACCAACTTCTTCACCACTCGGCCACACAGCTGTACATCCGAGTGCCCCACGCCAGCCTGCAGGATGAGGGCGTGTACACCTGCCTGTGTTACAGCCACACCGTGAGCACTCAGAGCGTGCAGGTGGTGGTGCGTGGTAGGTATTCCAGCAACATCGCCTCTGGCGAGGGCCGTGTGGTTCGGTGCACGTGGCGCCAGTTTTGAAACCTGACATTTGGTTTTCAAATGTTACCTATCACGAGACCATTTCTTGAGGTTATCTCTACTAGCTTTTATTCAAAGAAAACAGAACACAGCGTTCTATGTGGCGAGCTCTAGATTCAAATGTAAACATGTGGAGGTGCCTTTGGCATCAGTTAAATTTCTTTCCAAGAAACTAAGAGGAAAGAGGGGCGCAGGGGTGTGTGTGTGTGTGTGTGTGTGCACGTGCGCGCACATGCACACTAGGACTTGAATCCAGGGCCTATGCTCTATCCCTTAGCTTTTTCAACTTGAGGCTGACATTCTGGCACTTGAGCCACAGCTCCACTTCTGACTTTTTGGCGTTTAATTGGAGATGAAAGTCTCACGGACTTTCTTGCCCATGTGGCTTTGAGCTTCTATCCTCAGATCTCAGCCTCCTCAGTAGCTAGGATTAGGGGTGTGAGACACCGGTGCCTGGCTCAAGGAAAGAGAATCAGTATGTGATAAGCAAATAGTATACACCCAGAACTAAGAGTTCAGAGCAGAAGCAGGCATTATCCATCGCAGGGTGCACATTGCATAGGGAGGCAAAGCACGGGTAAGAATAAAATAGCCCCTGTGACAGCATGCCCAGGGCAGGGCACAGCGGATCAGCTCCCTTCCCAAATCCAGTGACAGCTCCCTTCCCACACCCTGTGGCATGCTCGGCCCCTGCGCACCCCGCCTCCTGTGGGAGGTAGAAGCAGGCAGCCTGTGCTCTGACTGACAGCCTCTGATCATCAGGGACCCGCTCCGCTCCATAGCTGGGCAGTGATGTCCAGCCTCCATCTTAATGTCTTGTTTTGCTTTTTGTGGCAGACTAGATCAATTTAAAAAATGCTTTTTATTGATCGTTAAATGACATAATTGTATGAATGTTTCTCCTGGTTGCTGCACTGAAGTCAGCACTGAAGGCATGATGGGAAAGTGGCTGAGAGGGAGGGGCTCTGAGGACCTCCATGGCTTCACCCGGGCCTGTCTGCTCTGTCTGCCTGGTCCTCTGAGGACCTCCATGGCTTCACCCGGGCCTGTCTGCTCTGTCTGCCTGGTCCTCTGAGGACCTCCATGGCTTCACCCGGGCCTGTCTGCTCTGTCTGCTTGGTCCTCTGAGGACCAACATGGCTTCACCCGGGCCTGTCTGCTCTGTCTGCCTGGTCCTCTGAGGACCTACATGGCTTCACCCAGGCCTGTCTGCTCTGTCTCCTGGTCCTTTCCAGTGCAGATTTTTGAACACCCCATTGTCTATCTCTACCACACCACTCAACACATGATCTTTTGTTTGTTTGTTTATGCCAGTATTGGGGCTTCAACTCAGGGCCTGGGCACTGTCCTTTAGCTTTTTCTATTCGAGACTAGTGCTCTACCATGCGAGCCACAGCTTGACTTCCAGCTTTTTGCTGGTTAATTGGAGATAAGAGTCTCACAGACTTCCCTGCCCAGGCTGGCTTTGAACAGTGATCCTAAGACTCCGCTTCCCAATGTGTTGCCAATGCCTGGAAACACATGATTTTGGGGGGATTGTGTGTGTGTGTGTGTGTGTGTGTGTGTGTGTGTGTGTGAACCCAGGGCCTTAAGCATGCTCAGCACAGGCTCTACCACTAAGCTCCACCACCAGTCCTAATATAATATTTAACAGTTTGAGACTAAATATAGCACCAGTTGATTAGCTCCTAGCAGGGACTAATCTTTTTTCTTTTTTTTTTTTTTTTTGGTCCAGTCATGGGGCCTGAACTCTGGGCCTGGGCGCGAGCCACAGCGCCACTTCCGGCTTTTTTCTTTTTGCTTATGTGGTGCTGAGGAATCGAACCCAGGGCCTTGTGCATGCAAGGCAAGCGCTCTACCACTGAGCCACCTTCCCAGCCCCTATCTTTTTTATCTTTATGTTGCCAAAGTAATGCATCTAGTCATACTTGAAGCTAGTGAACATGTTTCTGATATCTTGGCAGCACACAGCTGGGCTAATAGATATTGAAGAGTGTGGTTGTGGACTTGTATCAGGGAAGAATGGGGGGAAAGATGTATTTCCAAGACAGAACTGCAAAGGAAAAGAAGATCAACAGGCCATTTACACCCTTTTGGTATTAGAGAGGGACAAATGTAACTGACTTGAGGTGAGTCAGACTTAAAAGTCTGGAAGCTGAAAAAGGCCACTTTATTGCCCTCTCCTCCTTAGCACAGAAGAGGAAGCCCTGGCTATCCCAAGAAGCGGAGGGCTCCCCAGAGCTCCCCCAGCTAGGCCACAGCAGCGGTGAGACTGGGAAGCCAGGTTTCTCCTAGGCCTAGCGCTCTACCAAAGAATCGCCATACGCCAAGTCAAGCCGCTGCTGGGAGACTGGCTGCTCAGGCATTTTCAAAGACTGATCACACAGCAGTCATGGCCATTCTGACTTCAGCCGGAGTATCTTTGCAAGAATGTATAAGTCATTAACAACCCAGGATTCTGAGCAAAGTTGGGTCACAAATGACACCCGCTTATTAGGCTGTGTGTGCCACTGAGCCCACGTGCTCTGAGCTTTGCTGAGCTGGGCAGCCCAACACAGGAAAAAAATAATCATTTTCTTCTAGCAACTCCTTTCAAGCCAACCCTGGAAGCGTCCGTTATCAGAAGGCCAAATGGAGACTCCCATCTGGTGCTCAGGTGCTCCACCAAGGGCAGCAAGCCCCCTCCGCAGATCACCTGGCTGCTGGGGAACCACCTGGAAATCTATGGTAGGTCAGAAAACGGCTCTTTGTTTCGGTCTTAAATTTTCAAGGGATTTTTTTTAAGTGTTCTGGCGCCCTCTGGTGACAGGAAGTACCCAAAACACCACCAAATAACATCTACAAAAAACTTATCCATATAGACCATCAATACTATTTCTCATATTGAAAGGATAATCGCAAATAATGACAGTTGAAACACAGCTACTACACCTGGACATAAACTTTTTCATGGCATAAAAGTGAAAATACATTTTATATAGGAATATACACTGTGTAGTTGGTCATGTGTTACCTTGCAATGAGCTTACCAAAAAATTGAAGAGATCTCAACTATTATGCATTTTATATACCTAATAGTAAGTATCCATACAGCTTCACCTCCCCTTAACATGCTTCAAGGATTTACACTAGTCTATAGTTAAACTAACCCATATAATAGAATGATACGTGTGTATGTGCCTGCGTGTATACTGACTCTTTTAGGTAATGTATTGAATTTTGTACTGTCTGTGAACAGCACTCATGTGAACACACTTCCACATTGTTGTAAGCCATAAGACTGTAAGGGAAGAGATGAGATCTTCCTTAGATGATGTAAGACTGTGTTACCCTCAGGAGGACAAATTTTAAACATGGTAGGAATAAAGATACATTTTGAGGTTTTGCTTGAAACAACGTAACAAATATGATGGTTTGCTTCCATCTCACCAGGCATGCCTTCCATATCTGTAGATTCACACATCTTTGAGAGCTGCAAGAGGCCATACAGAGTTGAGAAAAGTGAGGGCCAAATGGAGTTGTAGAGAGAAAAATCTATGCCTGAAACCCAGCCCAGCACCAATTGTACTTTAAGAGCAAGACTCCTATGTCAGGAGCAAGTAGCTTACGCTTGTAAGTCTAGCTACTCAGGAGGCTGAGACCTGAGGATCACAGTTCTAAGCCAGCTGAGACAAGAAAGTCTATAAGGCTTTTATCTTCAATTAATCACCAAAAAGCCAGAATTAGAGCTATGACTCAGGTGGTAAAGCACCAGCCTTGAGTGAAAAAGCTAAGACACAATACCCAGGCCCCAAGTTCAAGCTCAATACTGGCACTAAATAAAAATGAATAAACAAACTAAAAACAAAATTCCTTTAACCTATCTTATTCATATAACCTGGGCAAGTTCCTGGTTCCGGTTATATGGATATAATCCAAGCCCTCCTTGCGGGCCCCGCTACAAGCTTTGAATTTTGTCCCAATAACAAAGGATTTGAAGAAACCTAGCCATTCTCTCCTTCACCCACTTGCTTTTTTTTTTTTTTTTGGGGGGGGTCCGGTCGTGGGGCCTGAACTCTGGGCCTCAGCTCTTCAGCTCAAGGCTAGCACTCTACCACTTGAGCCATAGCGCCACTTCCGGCTTTTTTCTTTTTGCTTATGTGGTGCTGAGTAATTGAACCCAGGGCCTCGAGCATGCAAGGCAAGCGCTCTACCACTGAGCCACCTTCCCAGCCCACCCACTTGCTTTTATGGCCACATCCTGCATAGGAGAGGCCGCCGGCTGAGGTCAGAGAAACTTAGAAAACTATTCTTTGCCATGATGTCAAAGCCCTGGGTGACTAAAAGAGCGGAGACCACGCGATATCACCAAGGAGCCTTTTTGATCTCCTTGTATTGCTCCCTAGGGGGGACCCACCATGAATTTGGCCCGGGCAGGAAGAAGTGTAACACCACCAGCACACTGGTAATCCACGCCGCCGACAAAAGCTCACAGGTGAGCTGCATTGTCCAGCACGAAGGGCTGCCGGGGAGAAAGCTGGTCACGCCCTTCCGGTTTGAAGACTTGGGTAAGAACTGGCCATTGTCTCTGTTTTTAATTGACCTTAATCCTGCGCTATCAGATGAAATCCACTGACGTGGGCAAAGTCCTTCAGGGTGCGATTACAGGGAAGCCAGCTTTCCCTAACAGCACGTCCCTGCAGTGAGTTCCAGTGGCAACGCAGTGGTAGAGCAGGGCTGCAGCCACAGCCAGTCGGGAGTGAGGCCTAGCAGAATGCCGGAGTCTGGTGCCTGGCTTTCTTCTGGACGAAGACTGCCACTGTCACTTGACTGTAAACAGCCCTGCTTGGGAGGCTATCAAATCAAGCACACTACCCCAAAGGAAACAACATGAACTGAAATACCTTTCAAGGTGTTGATATTATTTTAGGTCCTTTAAAAAAAGAAAACTCATGCAATTGCATTAGACGTGATTGCTCTTTAGATTTGCTTTGTTGTGACTGTTTTGAAGATTCCCCCCAGAGCCCAAGCTATAATTTAAAAACTATAAATAACTCTTCGAGTCAAGATGGATCTTTAAGAAGCTGCGTGAACCATGGGTCTAATTAGCAGAGCCGTGAGTCTCGTTTTCCAAAGAATGTCTGGGTGTAAAACAGTACAAGGGTATCACCTCAGCAGAAAGGTTGGATGACAGAATTAACTGGAAACCTTCTTTTATCAAAGGTTAGAATAACCTGCAAGGAGAGACTTCTGCAAAGGGTGAACTGGCACAGGAAACTTTGGCTCCAAGGGCAGCGGCTGTGGCGGTCGAGGTCCCTGGCACTGCCAAATGCTTTCCATAGGACCCTCCCTCAGCCAACCAAAAGATTATGGAGACGCTGCCATCAGTAGAAGACACAGGGCCCCAGAGACTGGTGTGTCTTGTAATGTCTTCCGCACACATCCCAAATCACACCTCCACCTGCCCAGGAGAGACAGGAACACAGGGCAGGCGAGGATGAGACCTGAGTCGGAGGCTTACTAGAGACAGAGGGCCACCAGCCAGAGGCCCACGCCTATCATCCTAGCTACTCAGGCGGCTGAGATCTGAAGACTGTGGTTCAAAACCAGCCCAGGCAGGAAAGTCCTTGGGACTCTTCATCTCCAATGAACCGCCAGAAAACCAGAAGTGGCACTGAAGTTCAAAATGGTAGAGTGCTAGCGAAAATGCTCAGGGACAGCATTGAGGCCCTAAGTTCAAGGCCCATGATCAACAAAAACAAAAAACAAAAAAACATAGAGGGGTGGGTACTGTGCTCACCTAGCTAGTTGGTAGGAAGAGTCTCATTTTTTTGTTTTCTTCTCTTTCTTCCTTCCTTCCTTCCTTCCTTCCTTCCTTCCTTCCTTCCTTTCTTGTTTCCTTCCTTCCTTTCTTCTTTCCTTCCTTCCTTTCTTCCTTCCTTCCTTCCTTCCTTCCTTTCTTCCTTCCTTCCTTCCTTCCTTCCTTCCCTCCTTCCCTCCTTCCTTCCCTCCTTCCTTCCTTTCTTTCTTTCTTTCTTTCTAGACAAAGTCTCATAGCCCAGGCTGGCCTTGAACTCTCAACCCTCTTGCCTCACTGCTGGGATTACTGGCATGTACCACCCAACTAGCTTGATATTCAGATCCTTAAGTAAGAAAACCAACCATGTTAAGGGAAATGTGCTTTTTTATTGTTGGGTTATTTTGTTGTTGTTGTTGTTGTTGTTGTTTACAGTGCTGGAAAGTAGCAATGTTGCAAACACCCCCCCTCTCTTCTGTGGCTATAGATCCACATCTCATGTTTAGTAACAAGACAGATAGAAATAAGTTAAAACACCTGTCTCCTCTATAGCCACCTGTGGGCTGTTTAGCATTTATTAACTTTTTTTCCTGTTGAGCAGCTAGGTTGATGTGACACATTGCGAAAATTGTGTTCATCCACTTGGTTTACAGTATTGATTATCTGAGGCGGCTGTGACACTCATTTACAAGTAAGAGCTCTAACCCTTTGTGGGTACACTCTGTGGGGCACGATCCCAAGACTCTCCCCAAAGGGGGCCCAAGACTAGGACAGGGAAGGGAGAGGAAGAGCAGGGGAGTCTGCTGTTATTGGGGTGATTGATTGCATTCTCTAGTCTCTCAGTGAGAAAGAGCCATGTCCTGTTACTGACCTGTGGCTGGGAGTTTTACAAAGTTGAGCAACAGTTCTCAAGCTTTTTGATTTTAGTGAACACACACACACACACACACACACACACACACCACTTATTTAAGTTTACATGGACCATGTGAATTCATGGATCCCATTCTGACCACCAGGGAGATGCATCTCAGACTGGCCGGCATCCATCCATCCAGAGTAATATGCAGTCTAAATATGACTACTTAGCAGCTGGTTGGAAGGGTAAATTAAAGTACGTGCGAACTCTAGTTTTAACCACATGTAATTAGTCTAAATGCATACAACTGGTTGGTACTTAAACAAGTAATTATCTGAGTTCATGTGAATGTGATGATGGAAGACTTTCATCGTTCAAGAGCTCTCAGTATCCCCCAGATTCTGCACCTCATTATTTCTATGTGATTCACGTTTGAGGTTTTCTCTCTTTCCGTTACCACTAGCCATTCCTCTTCCTTCAACTTTCTCTGTGGTCACTAGCCTTTGTGTTTTTAAAAACAAAATCTGTTTTGTTTTTCCTTTTCTTTATTTGGGGGGGGGTCTAGTTGTGGGGCCTGAACTCTGGGCCTGGGCGCTGTCCCTCAGCTCTTCAGCTCAAGGCTAGCACTCTACCACTTGAGCCACAGCGCCACTTCTAGCTTTTTCTTCTTATGTGGTGCTGAGGAATCAAACCCAGGGCCTCATGCATGCAAGGCAAGCGCTCTACCACTGAGCCACCTTCCCAGCCCCAACTTTTTAAAATTATATACAACGTTATTCATTGTTTTTACCAGTCCTGGGGCTTGAACACAGGGCACTATTCCTGGACTCCTTTTGCTCAAGTCCAGCACTCTATCACTTGAGCCACAGTGGCTCACATGACTGGCTTTTTCAGTGGCTAATTGGAGATAAGAGTGTCACTGACTTTCCTGCCTGGGCTGGCTTTGGATCACAATCCTCAGATCTCAGCCTCCTGAGTAGCTAGGATTCCAGGCGTGAGCCACCGGCACCTGGGTAACTTTGACTTTTATATTGTTGTGATTTTATCAGCACTTTTTCTTGTTCATCTCTTACTGCACCTAATTTATTCATTAAACTTTACCAAGCAGAGCTGTGTGCACGCAGCAGTTAATAAGCTGTAGAGGTGGGGCTGCTGGGGCCGAAACGCACCTGAGCGTGTGAGCGTCTCCTAACGCTTCCTGTGATCCTTCCTCCTCTCCTCAGCGTTTTTACCCATAATTCAGGCATATTCCTTCGTACTTTTCAAATTATTCATGTTCAATGAGTAAAATAAGGTTTTTCTTAATTAGGTAAGAGAAATCTTTCATTAAAGGGGTGCCCAAGCAGCCCTTGGCATCTCAGTATGTCCCGAAGCCCCGGGGCACATTCCCAGGCCCAGCCGCCCCCCTCCCCACAGCTGGCCTTGTCCCGGGCGGTGATCGCCGCTCGGGTCTCCATGTCATGACATTTTGTCAGCCCTGGGCTGAATAACCAGCCAGGCTCTATGCTAAACAGTCTATGAATAAACTCATCCGTGCTGTCCAAAAACAACATAAAGAAGAAAACGCCATCAGTGCCTCCAATCCACAGACAAGGAAACGCATGAGGTTGGATGAGTCAGGCCTCTTGCGCAGGCCCGAGCAAAGAGCGTCACTGGAACTCAGCACCGCCCAAGGCTGGCTCTAGAGCCGCCTGGCTGACGGACAGATGGGCAGGGTGGACGGATCTGGAAAGGAACGGTGAGTGGCTTTTGCCCACGACTGCAGAGGCCCAGCCTGCAGGCCTATCACGCTGGCCGGTGGCAGATGGCGGTCTGCAGGATGCCAATACAAACGCCAGGCTGGGAGCTGCACATGCGGCATTCTGGAGATTCACACACAGCCTCCACAAACCACCAAATGCCCCACCACTGAGCCCAATGTGGGGAAAACTGCGCTCCACCATTGCAGAATTCTGTCTTTCCCTTTCCTAGTTGCTGACCAAGGGACAGCAGCAGAGAACCTGCAGAGAAACCCCCTCTCCTCCCACACGTCCCAGCGCACCACGGCTGCCGGTCAGTGTCCAGCTCCTCTAATGCTACATTTTAAGAGTATTTTTTTAATTTTATTATGCTGTGTGTGTGTGCATGCACACGCTGGTACTGGGGCTTGAACTCAGGGCCTGGGCACTGTCCCTTAGCAGCTTCTATGCTTGAGACACGGCTCCACTTCTGGATGTTTGGGTGGTTAATTGGAGAGTCGTTTTATGGACTTTCCTGCCCAAGCTGGCTTCAAATTGTGATCCTCAGATCTCAGCCTCCTGAGTAGCAGGAGGACAGGCGTGAGCCTCTGGTGCCTGGTACTGAACACCTCTGAAAAGTCCCACCCCCTCAGCACCATCCCCTGGAAAGTTGCTATCAGCCAGAGTTTGGGGGTGACCAGAGGTTACCCATGAGTCATGTGCATGTGATCTCTCATTTCCCTTCACTTTCGTCTCCGTGATGGAAAATTCCACTACACCAGAGCCCACCCAGGAAGAGGAAGAGCAACCCACTCTGGACTCCGGCTTGACCACCGGTAAGCGTCACCTACTGAAATGAAATCAAACACTTGACATTATAACCTCTTAGTCGATAAAAAAAGCCAGTGACCTTTTTCGGCTCTCATTTTTTCTTGACCTTTCTTCCTTTTCTGACATGATTGGCTAATTGCTCCCTTGCCCCCCCCCCCCCCCCCCGACGTCCTTTGCTGGCTGCTCTCCTTGACCTACTTTGCCTGTCCTGTTATTTTTCTCTAACCGCTGCTTCTCTATGTCCATTAGCTAATTACACATCCTCCCTGACTTCTTAAATGAGATGTACTTCTGATTTCACTGCCTTATCTCCCTCCCTCCCTTCCTTCCTCCCTCCTTTCCTTTCCTCTTTGCCTCCTTCCTTCTTTCCTCCTTCCTTCCTTCCTTCCTTCCTTCCTTCCTTCCTTCCTTTATTCCTTCTTTCCTCCCTCCCTCCTCCCCTCTCTCTCACCTTCCCTTCCTCTTCCCCCCTTTCTCTGTCTTTCCTCTTTTTTGCTTTGCTTTTCTCTTTTCCTTTTTTGTAGTGCTGAATATTGTACCCCAGCTTCCCATGTTAGGCAAGGACTTTCCCATGGAGCTGCCTCCCCGGCCCAGGGCACCTCAATTCAAACAAACAAACAAGTTTAGCCCGCTTCCTACATTGTTCTGGCTGTCCTAGCCATGCCAGGATAGCTCTAGAATATCTCACTGTTTCCAGGATGTTCTGTGAGCATTAGAATATCCTACTTACTGCTCATTCTACTTCCTACTTATAGCTAGCAGAATTTCCTGCCAACTCTTCAACCGGACACCGCTCGAAACGAGAGCTCCTTCCCCCACAAAATCCGCTCTCCCAGAATTGGGCTCCCTCGGCAGCATGCACCCGCAGACCACCCCTCATCCACACGCACCCGCAGACCACCCCCATCCACACGCACCCCCAGACACCACCCATCCACACGCACCCGCAGACACCCCCATCCACACGCACCCCCAGACCAGCCCTCATCCACACACACCCGGAGACACCCCCATCCACACGCACCCGCAGACACCACCCATCCACACGCACCCGAAGACACCCCTCATCCACACGCACCCGCAGACACCCCTCATCCACACGCACCCGCAGACACCCCCATCCACACGCACCCGCAGACACCCCTCATCCACACGCACCTGCAGACACCCCTCATCCACACGCCCTGCAGACACCCCTCATCCACACGCACCCGCAGACACCCCTCATCCACACGCCCTGCAGACACCCCCCATCCACATGCACCCGCAGACACCCCTCATCCACACGCACCCGCAGACACCCCTCATCCACACGCACCCGCAGACACCCCTCATCCACACGCCCTGCAGACACCCCCCATCCACACGCACCCGCAGACACCCCCATCCACACGCACCCGCAGACACCCCTCATCCACACGCACCCGCAGACACCCCTCATCCACACGCACCCCCAGGCCACCCCTCATCCACACGCACCCGCAGACACCCCCATCCACACGCACCCGCAGACACCCCTCATCCACACGCCCTGCAGACACCCCTCATCCACACGCACCCGCAGACACCCCTCATCCACACGCCCTGCAGACACCCCTCATCCACACGCACCCGCAGACACCACTCATCCACACGCCCTGCAGACACCCCCATCCACACGCACCCCCAGACACCACCCATCCACACGCACCCGCAGACACCCCCATCCACACGCACCCCCAGACCAGCCCTCATCCACACACACCCGCAGACACCCCCATCCACACGCACCCGCAGACACCACCCATCCACACGCACCCGCAGACACCCCTCATCCACACACACCCGCAGACACCCCCATCCACACGCACCCGCAGACACCCCTCATCCACACGCACCTGCAGACACCCCTCATCCACACGCCCTGCAGACACCCCTCATCCACACGCACCCGCAGACACCCCTCATCCACACGCCCTGCAGACACCCCTCATCCACACGCACCCGCAGACACCCCTCATCCACACGCACCCGCAGACACCCCTCATCCACACGCACCCCCAGGCCACCCCTCATCCACACGCACCCGCAGACACCCCCATCCACACGCACCCGCAGACACCCCTCATCCACACGCCCTGCAGACACCCCTCATCCACACGCACCCGCAGACACCCCTCATCCACACGCACCTGCAGACACCCCTCATCCACACGCACCCGCAGACACCCCTCATCCACACGCACCCACAGACACCCCTCATCCACACGCCCTGCAGACACCCCCATCCACACGCACCCGCAGACACCACCCATCCACACGCACCCGCAGACACCCCTCATCCACACGCACCCGCAGACACCCCTCATCCACACGCCCTGCAGACACCCCTCATCCACACGCACCCGCAGACACCCCTCATCCACACGCACCCGCAGACACCACCCATCCACACGCACCCGCAGACACCCCTCATCCACACGCACCCACAGACACCCCCATCCACACACACCCACAGACACCCCTCATCCACACACACCCGCAGACACCCCCATCCACACGCACCCGCAGACACCCCCCATCCACACGCACCCGCAGACACCCCCCATCCACACGCACCCGCAGACACCCCCCATCCACACGCACCCGCAGACACCCCCCATCCACACGCACCCGCAGACACCCCTCATCCACACGCACCCGCAGACACCCCTCATCCACACGCCCTGCAGACACCCCCATCCACACACACCCGCAGACACCCCTCATCCACACGCACCCGCAGACACCCCTCATCCACACGCACCTGCAGACACCCCTCATCCACACGCACCCGCAGACACCCCTCATCCACACACACCCACAGACACCCCCATCCACACGCACCCGCAGACACCCCTCATCCACACGCACCCGCAGACACCCCCATCCACACGCACCCGCAGACACCCCTCATCCACACGCACCCGCAGACACCCCTCATCCACACACACCCACAGACACCCCTCATCCACACGCACCCCCACACCACCCCTCATCCACACGCACCCGCAGACACCCCCATCCACACGCACCTGCAGACACCACCCATCCACACGCACCCGCAGACACCCCTCATCCACACGCACCCGCAGACACCACCCATCCACACGCACCCGCAGACACCCCTCATCCACACGCACCCGCAGACACCCCTCATCCACACGCCCTGCAGACACCACCCATCCACACACACCCACAGACACCCCCATCCACACGCACCCGCAGACACCCCCATCCACATGCACCCGCAGACACCCCTCATCCACACGCCCTGCAGACACCCCCATCCACACACACCCGCAGACACCCCTCATCCACACGCACCTGCAGACACCCCTCATCCACACGCACCTGCAGACACCCCTCATCCACACGCACCCGCAGACACCCCTCATCCACACACACCCACAGACACCCCCATCCACACGCACCCGCAGACACCCCTCATCCACACGCACCCGCAGACACCCCCATCCACACGCACCCGCAGACACCCCTCATCCACACGCACCCGCAGACACCCCTCATCCACACACACCCACAGACACCCCCATCCACACGCACCCACAGACACCCCCATCCACACACACCCGCAGACACCCCTCATCCACACGCACCCGCAGACACCCCTCCTCCACACACACCCACAGACACCCCCATCCACACACACCCGCAGACACCCCTCATCCACACGCCCTGCAGACACCCCTCATCCACACGCACCCACAGACACCCCCATCCACACGCACCCGCAGACACCCCTCATCCACACACACCCACAGACACCCCCATCCACACGCACCCGCAGACACCCCTCATCCACACACACCCGCAGACACCCCCCATCCACACGCACCCGCAGACACCCCTCATCTGCACGCACCCACAGACACCCCTCATCCACACGCACCCCCACACCACCCCTCATCCACACGCACCCACAGACACCCCTCATCCACACGTCCTGCAGACACCCCTCATCTACACGCACCCGCAGACACCCCTCATCCACACGCACCCGCAGACACCCCCCATCCACACGCACCCGCAGACACCCCTCATCTGCACGCACCCGCAGACACCCCCATCCACATGCACCCGCAGACACCCCTCATCCACACACACCCCAGACACCCCCATCCACACACACCCGCAGACACCCCTCATCCACACGCACCCGCAGACACCCCTCATCCACACGCCCTGCAGACACCCCTCATCCACACGCACCCGCAGACACCCCCCATCCACACACACCTGCAGACACCCCCCATCCACACGCCCTGCAGACACCCCTCATCCACACGCACCCGCAGACACCCCCCATCCACACGCACCCGCAGACACCCCTCATCCACACACACCCGCAGACACCCCTCATCCACACGCACCCGCAGACACCCCCCATCCACACGCACCCGCAGACACCCCCATCCACACGCACCCGCAGACACCCCCATCCACACGCACCCGCAGACACCCCTCATCCACATGCACCCGCAGACACCCCCATCCACACGCACCCGCAGACACCCCCCATCCACACACACCCGCAGACACCCCTCATCCACACGCACCCGCAGACACCCCCCATCCACACACACCTGCAGACACCCCCATCCACACGCACCCGCAGACACCCCTCATCCACACGCACCCGCAGACACCCCTCATCCACACGCACTTCCACAGCCTATATGTGGAAGGGCGTGGGACCTCGCAGCTCCGGTTCCTCTCTCTCAGGCACTTGTCCAGCTCTGGAGTCATCCACCTGATGCAGACCCGCCACCTCCCATATGGAACATCGTAACTCCGGTCCTCCTTTCTGGTCCACTTTAGCATCTGCCAATCAAAGTATCCCATTGCACACTGCACTCTTAGGAAAGCTTCCTGCTTCCCATGGTCCACAACTAAGGACAGGACCCCCCCCCCCCATTACTCCCTTCCCATGAGGTGCAGCTCACCCCTCCCTGGTCAGCCCTACCTCTAAAAAGTCCCCATGAAATTCCAGATCTCCATGGAAAACTTAGTGGACAAACTCAGCCCTCAGGGACCCCTGTGTCTGAGTCCCTCTGTGTCAGTGTATAAATACGTATGGTTCTAGAATTTGACATCCTGTCTCTTGCTTCTGTTTGCCTTTATTAGTATGTTGCTTTTCTCAGTTTTCTTGCTCAGCTGGTGCTCTACCACCTGAGTCATGCCTCCAGCCCCACTTTTGGTTGGCCCCTTTGAAGATGGAGGCTCACACACGTTCCTTGCCTGAGCTAGCTTTGATCCACAGTTCTCTGGATCTCAGCCTCCTGGATAGGTAGGGTTACAGGTGTGAGCCACTGGTACCCAGCAAGAAATATGTGTAAGCTCATTTGGTTTATCCTTAAATGCCTTCACATTAGAGCCACTTTGAACCAAGTCGAGATCGGTGAATTTTCATGTTATTTGGATATTTTCCAAACTCCTTGGCCATTTCTTTTACTACTTGAACCACATGTTGCTAAAAGGCATGGCTTACAGCTAACTTGGATCCCCTGACTATAATTGAGTATTTATGATTCAATATTCTTTCATGCTTTCTCTAGCAATGAATAATAACGGCTTTCATATCTCTGTCATTAGAAAAATAGCCTTTTCGATTTTTTTCTGCCGAGGTTCTTGCTTTGGTTGTTTCTATGCCTACCTTGTTTTCAGAGAAGGGACTTGGAGGAGTGACCTCTGGCCCTTTCCTTCCCAAGGGCCATCTCTGAGCCCGACTGAGCGCGGATGTGTAGTGCATGTCCTCACCAGAGCCTCCTCATTCTCCCTCCAGAGACAGACCCTCAGCAGGCGGGGGTGATGCGGAGAAAAAGTGGGATTCTGCTGCTCAGCCTTGTGTCTCTCCTCATCTTCATCCTCTTTGTCATCGTCCAGCTCTTCATCATGAAGCTGCGCAAGGCCCACGTCATCTGGAAAAGGGGTGAGCGGGGAGCCACGCCATCCGCTGGACCTCCATTCCCACACACGGCTGCACAAGCTAAGCAATCCAGGCCACTGGTCACCCTCATAACCACTGGCCTTCGAGTCATGTGGGTTGTGTCTCTCCAGACACTGTGACCCAAAGCAGCAGAAAACAGACCAGCTCTTGGTTTTTGTGCTGCAGAACAGACAGGACAGTCCACAGGGGGGCGCGAAATGCAGAGCTCAGTCTCTGCATTTGCTCACTCAGCATTTGCTGAGTGTCTGCTGCGTGCTGGGCACCGCCTCCGGCTGCTAGGGACTCACCTGTCAACCAAACGACGAGCAGATCCCTGCCGTCCAGGGGTTCCGGCTCTCACTGAGACTGTATTGGCCCCGTTGGTGCTCAGCACCAGTGCGCGCAGCCTCACTCATCTACCATAGATTTGCCATTTTTCCCTGAGCACGCCAACAAGAAGAGTTGCTAAAAACCAAAAAGAAAATTATACACCTAGTGTCGGAGGTGCCTAAGTTAACAGCAGCCTTGGCGGTGCGTTGGGCGAAGGGATGTCAGGAGGGACGCAGAGCAGCGTCACATCAGTTCACTCTGGGGTTTGAACCTGGGGCTTTGCACTTACTAGGCAGGTGCTCTACAACTTGAGCCACTCCTCCAGCACCTTTTCAGATAGGGCCACGTGCTTTGGCCCATGGCTGACCTTGGACAGGTCCCCCTACCTTTGCCTCCTACTTAACTTACAGCCGGATCCCTCATGCCCTGCTTATTTGTTGAGATGGAGTCTTGCTAGCTTTTTAGTCTCAGAATGGCTTGAAGTGCAATCCTCCCAAGCAGCTGGGATTGTAGGCAGAAGCTGTAGCAGTCAGCTCTACAATACTTTAAATTACACATATAACGTAATCGTGGTCATCTGTGGTAATTGTGATGCCCATCAGTTACATATGGGTCAAACAGCTCCAGGGGTAGAGAACCATTGACCTCTCAAGACAAAACACTAGATCCTCTCATGGCTTTGAGTAGCATTGCTCTTACTTGTTCAGTATCTGTCTCTACACAGTCAGATGCACTAACATCCTCATTAAACAACAACCTAGAAACAAGGTCTGATAGTTTTCAGGTGTGTCTGCCTGCAGCCTGGTGAATATCACAGTGCTCTTTCAAAAATCTTCCATTAATGACTCAGCCCCACTCTCCCATTGTTCTTTTAGAACTATTGCAAATGAATAGCTATGTCCATCCTGCCTTTAAAGCTCCTATGGTAGCATGCAGAGAGCATGCTCCTAGTGCTAAACTGATGAGGGCTGGAAATACAGGAGGGTAGGAACACAGCTATAGTGCAGTAAGGTAACGAGGTACCATCTTATTAAACACAGCTTCCTGTGTATAAATGATGTCTGTGGCACCAGAGATCAGTGCGTGAACTTGCTTTTCTTGCAGAAAATGAAATTTCGGAACACACCCTAGAAAGTTACAGATCAAGGTCAAATAATGAAGAAACATCTTCTCAAGAGAAAAATGACCAAAGTAAGTCAATCTGCAGACTTGTAGTTTGGGGTATTTTGATTTAATGCGCACAATATTTCTTCCAGCAGTGAATAATTTGATATAGTCTGTATCCTGAGATCCTAAGGTCTTAGCACAAAAAAAAAATTGATACATTTGTATTAAATAAATGAATGTGAAGCTTTCCATTCAAAAAGAAATATTTCAGGTCTTTTGAATGGCTTCATTGTTATTTTTCAAGTGAAATAATAAAGAAAATGAAAAAAAGCTAAATGAGAAAGAGTACGGAGAGATAGTGTGTGTGTATGCCTGAGTGTGTTCATGTATGTATATATATGTGAACATGTGCATGTGTGTGTGCCTGAGGGTGTTCATGTGTGTGTGAACATGTGCATGTGTATGTGTGTGTCTGAGTGTGTGTTATGAATGTGAGTGTATGCCTAAGTGTGAGTGTATATGTGTATGTGTGTGTATGTGTGTGTGTGTGCTGGTCCTGGGGCTTGATCTCAGGGCCTGGAAGTTATCCCTAAGATTTTTCACTCAAGGCTGGCACTCTACCACTTGAGCCACAGCTTCACTTCTGCCTTTTGGCTGGATAATTAAAGATAAGAGCCTTACAGTTTTTCCTGCCTAGGCTGGCTTTGAACATCATTCCTCAGATCTCAGCCTCCTGAGTAGTGAGGATTACAGGTGTGAGCCACCAGCACCCAGTGTGTGTGTGTGTGTGTGTGTGTGTGTGTGTGTGTGTGTGTGTGTTCTTGATCATCATTCACTAGGCAGAAACTGTGTCTATAAAAATAGGAATTGTTTTTCTTTTTAACTGTTTCACATCCAATATGGACATAGATTTCTTCTCACTGCTGGGAGTTGCGCAGAGTGTAATGAACTTTGCTGCTTGATTCTCCTGGTTTGCTGGAAGTAAGAAGCTGATCCTTTGTAACACCCCTGCATTTTTGTCTTAATCTCCTAGGAGGTGCAATGGAAAGAGAGATGCACTGACATATACACACAGACACAGACACACAGACACACACGGGGTGAGCTGGCTATGTGAAAACTGTAAAAAGGGAGAGAAGAAGATAGGGAAGGGGTGACATGGCTCAAAAAGAAATGTACTCGTTACCTGCCATGTAACTGAACCCCTCTGTCCATCACCTCTACGACAACGATCGACGAGGGGCTGCAGTCTGGCGGGGGACCGGCCAAGGCGATGCTGTCAGCTCTGTGTGCCTTGGGCTGCTCCGGTGTGGCTCCGGCACAGCAGAGCTGACACTGTGAGAGTCCAGTTCTAATACTTAGCAGGGAAAGGAAAGCCCTCAGCTCAGATGCTAAACAAGTGGGAGTTCCTACAGTTCAACTTAAAGGAAATCCAACGTGAGGACTGGGATTCAGGACCCATCCTCAGAAAGGGACGGGCTGGCAGTTGCCGTGCCAGCAGGAAGTTGCATCTTCTCAGACCTCTCCTCCATCTGTGTTACCTCTGCACCTCACATCCAGCTGTACAGCCATATTCTGAACAATTAAACGATGGCTCTTACCGGGCATGGCGATGCGTGCCTGTGAGTCCAGCCCTTGAGAGGCTGAGTGAGGAAGTTTGAGGCCAGCCTATGCTACATAGCAAGTCCCTGTCTCAAAAATAGATGATCCAGGCACCTGTAGCTCGTGCCTGTAATCCTAGCCACCCTGGAAGCTGAAAGCTGGAGGATCTTGGTTTGAGTCCACCACAGAAAGAAAATTCTATGACATTTCATCTACAACTAACAAGGAAAAAGCCAGACTGGAGACCTGGCTCAATTGGTAGAGCACCAGCCAAGCAAGCAAGGCCAGCCAATGCAAGACCCAATATAGATGACATAGGTAGACAGACAGACAGATAATTCTCTGCAGCTGTTTCTAGTCTTTGTGTGCCTTTTCATAGTCTTTGAGTGGTCTGTCCATAAACCCTACTATGGTTTTTGTGCTTTTTCTGGAGTTGGAACTCAGGGCCTTGCACCTGCTAGGCAAGTGTTCTACCACTTGAGCCACCATTATTTTTTAGTATTTAATTTTCTGAAGGCAATATAGTGTTTTCTGTAGTACATGTAACGGAACTGTCTCTGAATTTTATTTCAGACTCATTTGCATGTTGCTTATGTAACAAGATGGTTTTTTTTTAGTCTAGGGTGTAACAGTACATCCCAACTGTTCATACAAGTCAGGAATTTTAGGCCCAGTGTTATAAGACATTAACAGAGGGGCCTCAGCCACCATGTGCAGGTGAAGGGGTCCAAATGAGTGGATGCAGTGTTGGTCAGAGTTGATACTCACGCAATGTTTGCCTTTCAGCATCCCTGTCTCGGGGCTGCCTGGGTCACCTCTTGCGTTGGTGTTCAGAAGCTAAAACAGACAGGAAGGGAACTACCCAGCCCCTGTGCCTGGAGGCAAAGCCGGCTCGGGTCCCAGTGAGCATCGTGTAGCTGTCTGCTTGTGGAGGTAGGCCTGCAGCATGACCTCTGGGCACAGCTTGGGGAGCAGAGCCACATCCAAGCATGGGGTCGGGGAGGGGGGAACAGGGGGGGGCCAGGAAGAGCACAGGGTTCTCTGAGCCAGGGCAGCAGCAACCAGGGGAGACCAAGTCATGCTCAGAAAGCTCATAGGAAAAAAAAAAAAAAGAGAGAGGAAGGGAGGGAAGGAGGGAAGAAAGGAGAGGGAGGGAAGAAAAGAGAGGGAGGAAAAGGAGGGAGGGAAGAAAGGGGAGGGAGAGAGAAGAGGAAGGAAGGAAGGAAGGAAGAAAGGAAGGAAGGAAGGAAGGAAGGAAGGAAGGAAGGAAGGAAGGAATCAGCCTTGACAGGGTAGAGCATGTGACCTACCAAGCCTGTGTGACCAGCTAATGTCCTCCCTCCAAGGGAACAGGGGTCTTAGATAAGAGACTAGAGTGGAACTACTTAAGAAAAAACAGCAGGGCACTGGTGGCTCATACCCATAATCCTAACTACTCAGGAGGCTGAGATCTGAGGATTGAAGTTGGAAGCCAACCTCAGCAGGAAAGGCCATGAGACTCTTATCTCCAATAAACCACTAGAAAACCAGAAGTGGTGCTGTGGCTAAAGCAGTGGAGCACTGGCTTTGAACTGAAGAGCTGAAGGACAGCGCCCAGGCCCAGAGTTCAAGCCCCATGACCAATGAAAGAAAGAAAGAAAGAGAGAGAGAGAGAAAGAAAGAGAGAAAGAGAGAAAGAAAGAAAGCAGCATTATATTTATTTTTTGATATTTTTTCCCTTCCGATCATGAAGGAACTTTGGAATGAATGGGACTTTACAGACCGATCCTAGGAAATTCCTTTCCAGTTGGACTTTCAGAAGGTGACACAGGTACTGAGGAGGTGGAGGCTGGAAGAGCCAGATTTGAAGCTGGCCTGGGCAGAAAAGTGTGTGAGTTTCATCACCAACCAACAAGCAAAATGCTGGGCTGGAGATGTGGCTCAAATGATCAAATAACAGCCGTGAGTGAAGAAAGGCTCTGCCTTCTAATCCCAGTACCAGCACCCAAAAGAAGGTGATGCCCAGGTGTGGGTGTGGAGACAAACCAGTACACGACGGAGGGCGGAGAGGAAGGCCCTGACCCACGGCCTGGAACAGGACGGGGATCCAGGGAGGCTCCACCATTCCCATCGACGACTTCTGGCCTAACGCATGGCTTCTTCCGTTCTTCAGCAAAGGGCAGGGTGTACATCTGAGGTTCTAGAGCCTGTCACCCTAGTTGCGCCTCAGAGTTTTGCATGTGAGTGACATGGAGCGTGTCTTTATTTCCTTCCATCAGTTTATGTCTGTCCAGCAAGCTCGCGTTGCTTGGATGGGAACAAACCCCTTCTCGGGTGTGCGTTTTCGTCAGCGCGATGGCTGCGCACACGCCCACGTGCGTATACAGTGTGTCTCAATCACGCCTTCGCCTCATCCCACCCCCTCCTGAAAACAATTTCCACGGGTTTCACGGTTCTGTTTTCATACGTGCAAATAAAGTGTGTCACCATATTCATCAGTGGCTCCCTTTGTTGGCCCAACCCCCTTCCCTGGGATTCACCCTCCTCCCCCCGCAACAACAAAATCTATTTGACTTTCCTGTCAGTTTTTTTCAATGTATACTAATTATGCCAAGAGGTTTCACTCAGACTAACTTCCCCTCAGCCTGCCCTCCGAATCTATTGACCACCAACTTTGAGGTTCCTTACACATCTTCATACATATGTGAACTGCATTCCAAAACTATTCGCTCTTGGGGCTGGGACGTTAGCTCAGTGGTAGAGCGCTTGCCTTGCATGCCTGAGGCCCTGGGTTCGATTCCTCAGCACCACATAAGCAAAAAGAAAAAAGCCGGAAGTGGTATTGTGGCTCAAGTGGTAGAGCGCTAGCCTTGAGCTGAAGAGCTGAGGGACAGCGCCCAGGCCCAGAGTTCAGGCCCCACAACCAGACCCCAAAAAAAAAAAAAAAAAAAAGACAAAACTATTCACTCTCCATATTTCCTCTTCCCTCTCTCCATGGTGAGAATCCTGCTGCAATCACATTAAAGTCACAGCCCTGCCATGTAGAAGCCCTTGGGTGGGTGGAGGTGTTGACTCATGCACATGTACATGCACAAATATGTGCATGCACACACACTGCCCTTCCCCCAAAATGTTAAAACTGCTAATGATACCCAGCGCCATCAAGGGATCTGAGCGGTTGCCACGGAACTCGGGCAGAGTGGGTTTGTCCTTGGTGGTCTTGTTAAACTGCTGCGTGTTCCACAACTTGGTCCAGGATCCCCCACTGCTGTTCAGTCCAGGCGAACTGGATTTCTAATTACCTTCAACAACCCTGCAAAGCACGTTTTAAGTGATCATGTGACAAACTATGATTCTTGGGAACACACTTTGTCCAACATTGATTTGGAGCAATGTGTTTTATAGATGAAGGAGCAAAGGCCCAGAGAGGCTGAAGACTGCAAAGCTAATGAGCAGCCAGGATTAGAACCTACCACTCTGAGACACCAAGGCAACTCCTGTCTTTTTTTTGGTATTGGGTCTTATGCCAGTCCTGGGCCTTGAACTCAGGGCCTGGGCTCTGTCCCTGGGCTTTTTTGCTCAAAGCTAGTGCTTTACCATTTGAGCCACAGTGCCATTTCCAGCTTTTTGTTCATGAATTGGAGATTAGAGTCTCACAGGCTTTCCTGCCTGGGCTGGCTTCAAACTGCAGCTCTCAGACTTCAGCGTCCTGAGTAGCTCAGATTATAGGTGTGAGCCGCTCCGTTTTTTTCTTACATGCAGCCTTAGACCTAGAGGAATCCATTCATGCTCACTTCCTCTTACTTATTGCAAGATGGAGCCAAAGAGCCACTGGCACATCCCTATTTAATGATTCTATTTGTTGTCTTTTAGGAACTAAGTTTTAACATGCTTACATTACTCTCATGTTACTTAAAAAAATGTATTTGTCTGGCTACAAGCACCAACTGTAGTATCTACCTATCATTAGGTGAAAATATCAAACAGCAAAGATTATAGCGCGGAGACTAAGTGCCCTGTAGATGAAGAGCGAGGTGTGAACTACCAATCGTTAATGAACCCATTAATTTAACCCAACAACATAATCTCCTGGTACTTCCCCTGGCTGAAGTAGTGGTGATTTTATATTTATAAGGGAGTTTTGATCTAGATGAAATATAGTTCTATTTTTACAATCTTGTACCTTCTAAAGGAGAAGCCAGCTTCCTTCCAGTAATGTATTCATGGATTTATCACCATTGCTCATTATCTAGACCTGTGCAAATATGTTAACTTTTTCCCCTACATTTTTTTTTTTTGCTCCAGAATTTAGGCAGCAAAAACCTCTTACGTTTTCCCCAATGCCTCACACTTACTTGTAAAAAGATTCCTTGCCTAATGTCTATGGAGGCCTAACCATAGTGAAAAACCTGTATTGACTTTTAGAAAATAATTCTACTAGGTCCTTTTACAGTTCAATGCGACAATGGGTCATTTTATCTATTTTGTTAACAGCATCTCCCCACGTAGCTCCGGCTGGCTTCAGACTTGCTGTGACCAAAGCAGTTCTCCATCATGCAACCCTCCTGTTTCCAGCTCTTGATTGCTGAGATTACAGGTGTGTACCACCATGCTCAACCAGGCCACAATTTTTAGTTCAGACAGGAAACAGATTTGAATTAGGTTCTGATTTGTGGGACAAAGTGTGTCCCTGTAGAAAAAGGAAAATTCCCAGTAGTGACAAGCTATATGCAACTTCCCTTCACACATTGTGTGAGGGAGACCAGTAAGCCTAGAGATCCAGACCCAAATTTCAACCTGTTACTCCACTTTGCAAAAATACAAACGTAAAACACATATACAAACTACGCACAACAGAGGGTGGTTTTCCTCCCTGATTGAGTTGTGTTGGTCTTGTTCACAGAATAACCTCTCAGCTTCCTCATCTGTAAAATGAGAATAAGGCCCCTCACCACACAGGATTAGCATGTGGGTTAAAATGCATTCATAGTAATAAGTGGATAGTATTATTTCATAAGTATGTAAACAATGTTAGTGTTTCTTTCCTCCACCTGGACTAGCCTCAGGGTGACTGGATTTATTTATTGAGAATTGCCTGATCATTGCATATGCCGAATTTTTAACTTCAAACTTAGTAGAGCATACAGTAGGCATAGTGATACATACCCATAGTCCCAGTACTAGTGATACACACCCATAGTCCCAGCACTTGAGAAGAAGGGCTGTGAGTTGAAGGGCAGCCTGGGCTCTATAGTCATTTGAAGGACATAAAATAAGCTTTTCATAGAAAATAAAATCCAAAAACTTCAAAGACAAATAGAAAAGATGAAAGCTTTTTAAAAAAAGATGCTAGGAAAAAATATTTGGACATTTTACTAGTGATAAGCAGGAACTCATATTTTAGTGTAACTGTAATTTTGTTAACTTTTCCTTCTTTTTGTACTGTTAACAACTTTAAGAGCTGTATTTTTTCACTGTCTTTTTCCATGATCTTTCTTCTTCATTTTAACGCATCTTGCATATGTTAGAGATTTGACCCTTTGAGATTTAAGTTGAAATCCGGACGTTTCTATTGTACTGGTGAGTCCCTGGCAACGGGAGCAAGATTAGCGGTTGCCAAGGCCTGAAGGTCGCCGGGAATGGAGATGAAGACCAGTGTTCACTGGCGCCCGGGAGGCACGGAGAGGACCGGATCCCACAGGAATGGTTACACGACCTCACACATGTACTGCGTGCCACTTATGTCCTTCTGTTACTGTTTATTAATTCAGTAGATATTTATCTAATGAGCAGCTTTGAGTAATGGGGGGTGGAGGTTATGTAATGTGAAAGAGCAAATTGTGTGACATGAAAAATGATTCTCAGTAAGGTTGTTTTGTTGTTGTTTTGGATACGAGGCCACTGGGGCTTGAACTCAGGGCCTGGGCACTGCCTTTCACACTTTTTTTGCTCGAGGTGGGAGCTCTACCATTTGAGCCGCAGCTCCACTTCCAGCGTTTTGGTAGTTAGTTGTAGGTAAGAATTTCACAGACTTTCCTGCCTAAGCTGGCTTGGACCCCAGATCCTTACCTCTCAGCCTCCTGAGTAGCTAGGCTTACAGGTGTGAGCCTGTAGGACTAACCTATGTGTTTTTATGGTTGTTGTTTAAAAAACAAAACTTTTCCTCATTCTTTTGTGTGCTTGTGTTAAATCAGGGTTAGGCTGAACTCCCAACACATAATATATGCAAAAGCATTCTGCAAATCCTGAGAGGTGCTATTCATATGTAAAGTATCTGGTATTTCCATGACATCAGGTGGAAACAAAGCACTTGATAGCTTTTTCTGGGCACTCTTTCTATCCTGCTAGGATGCTGAAGAACAGAGCATGACAGCATCACTGACTAAGCTACTGTCTCTGCTTTAAACACATGCTCCTCTAGGCTGACAGACTGAGCCCGGCCTCCTTCGCCTGCGCCAGCCGGCTCTGCCAGTGAGGGGCAGTAGAGGGAGACAGTGAGGCCTGGGAAGGGGAAGGGCTTGCTCCTTCCTCTGCTTCCCACTCCTCTCAGGGTCCCCTTGGCAATGCTTCCTCATCCCAGCAGCGAAGTTTGGTTCCTAGCTGCAACTGATTTCAGTTTTTCTAACACTCCCAGAACCAGCACCTTCAGACTGTTTTCAAGGACACAGCGGTGGCGGCCTGGGCTCTCACACTCCTCAGAGGCCTGGATTCTAGCTCTGAGGGTCCCTGCTCAGAGCTTAAGAATTGCAGATTCCCCGTGTTCTGCCATAACAGGCAAGGGTCCTTGCCACCGAAAGAGTGTTGTTTACATCCAACACTACTGAAAATCAGAAATGACAAAGGGAGTAGTGAGGATATTTTCTGTGTTTCTTATCATTCCAGAAGCAACTGGTATGGAAGCATTCTTGTGGTTTTAATGATGTCATCATGTGCATATAATTCCCAATGATTTGCTCCTCTTCTTTTTTCCTTGAACTCAAGGTCTGGGTGCTGTCCCTTAGCTTTTTCTCTCAAGACTAGTGTTCTGCCACAGGAGCCATTGGAGATGGGAGTCTTAGAAACATTCCTGTCCCAGCTGACTTCCAACCATGACCCTCAGACCTCAGCCTGCTGAGGAGCTAGGATTACATGTGTGGGAGTCATTGCACCCAGCTCTCTTTGCTCTTCATAAAAAATCTTACGATAGTGAATTAACCTATACATATATGACTGTCCACCTTAATGACATCTTGTGCAATGACCACGTGGGTAGCTGTGCTTAAGATCAGAGCGTCTAGCCCGCAAAGCCTTCTTCCCCACGGTCTCCCCGAGCTGCCAGAGCAGCCACACGCCCACTGCAGCAGCGCTGATCCTTTTCTGTTCTTTTTTTCATAGTTCCCTCCACTAAGTGCATCTACCAACACCGTCTTTCATTGTTCCACACACCGTGTTGTCTGGGTTCCTGTGTTCTTGTTTTCCCTGGAAGAAGGCACTGCGATCGGTCCACCCGTGTACAGCGCCAGCCCGGGGCCGCGCGGGGGTTGCATTTCGCTCATCTTTCCTGCGCTCTGGTTGTCCGGGCCGTGCAAGACCACGCTTAGTGGCGATCCCCGTTTCCTTCGGTCTGCCCGCGTGGGGCACGCCCCCCAGCGGCCCGGCCTGCGCCTCCCGGGCAGGGGGACCCCGGACCGTGCCGCCTGCGGACTGCCGGAACCCCGGCGGTCTCCACCTCTCCCCTGAGTGCTGACCACACGCCTTTCCAATAAGCCACGCGTCGGTCGGCCACTACCCGCCCTGAGGGCCTGCCTTTCCTTGGCCCTCCACCTCTAGGAGGTCGGGGTGGCGGACTGCACCCTCTGTGAGCCCCGGGGGCCGTGGACGCGGCCGTTTCCAGCCTCGGCATCGTCCCCACGCGGGACTGAGCCGGGAGACAGCGGCTCGCGTTGGCCTCGGGTCTCCGGGCAACGCGGAGTGGGCGGGGCTTTGGGGCGCGGTGTCGTGGGCGGGAGCGATGGTGGGCGTGGCGCTGTTGTGGGCGTGGTCGGTGTAGTGGGCGTGGCGAGGGTCGTGAGCGGGGCCTTGGTGTGGGGCGGGGCCGGTGTTCCAGGAACGGTGTAGTGGGGCGGGGCCGGCGGTGGGTGGGTGGGGCCGGCGGTGGGTGGGCGGGGCCGGCGGTGGGTGGGCGGGGCCGGCGGTGGGTGGGCGGGGCCGGCGGTGGGTGGGTGGCGGCGGCGGTGGGTGGGCGGCGGCGGCGGCGGGTGGGCGGGGCCGGCGGTGGGTGGGCGGGGCCGGCGGTGGGTGGGCGGGGCCGGCGGTGGGTGGGCGGGGCCGGCGGTGGGTGGGCGGGGCGGGAGCCCGGGCGGCAGCCGTGCTGAGGCGGATGCGGGGCCGGGGTCACGGCCGGGAGCGCCGGGCAGGTGACGGGAGCCACGTCCGGGGAGGGCAGAGGACGGTCAGGACCGCGGGGAGGGCCGCGGGGAGGGCCGCGGGAAGCCACCTGCCGGACGTGGATCGGGGCCGAGCCCTCAGGCAGGCGGGAGGACCGGGAGGCCGAGGCGGGCCGGGGCCCGGGGGCCGGTCCAGGCCGGTGCGGCCGGTGGGGACCTCGGACTCCCGGCCCGTCGTTTTCGTGGACGTTAAAACAGTCCCCGGGGACGGCGGGGAGAGAAACCGAGCGTCGCTCCTGGCAGCTGCCTCCCGGCAACTCGCCTTTGCCCGGCGTCCTGTGAGCGGGCCCGGCTCCTCGTCACCCGGAGTGGGCCCGGGGCCGAGGTCGGGCCGGACCCGAGGCCCGGGGTCCCCGGACCCGAGGACGGGCCGGACCCGAGGCCCGGGGTCCCCGGACCCGAGGACGGGCCGGACCCGAGGCCCGGGGCCGGAGGTCGGGGTCCCCGGGGCCCCCGGGGCCGAGGCCGTCACAGCCCTTTCTCGGTCCCCAGACACTATTAGGTGGCAAGAAGGAGCCGAACTATTTTATGAAGGGACAGGCGAAGCCACGAGTTCGTTCTTTGTGGTGCTGGGAATTGAACCCAGAGCCCCCGATGCTCTACCACTGAACCACATACACCTCACTCTCCAAGCTGATTATTTTACGCTTGTTTTTCAAGATCTCTGCGGCAGTGGCATTTAATTTTTATGGTAAAACTGGTGTGCATGGAGACTTTCAGTTAAAATGTGTTTGTATTTACCCCTTTCTAAAAAAAACACCCTAAAAGGCAAGTTAATCAGCTTATTGGTATTAAAATAAATCGGCGGAGTGTAATATGTGTTTGTTAAAATGAGAGACTACAGCAAACCAGCTTGCAAAATTAGGCAATGATGTGTTAATCTATTAACAGCTCATGTGTGCTTGTGAACATTCCCTTTTGTCTGTGATGTTGTTAGTCTGTCTCCCTCAAGGAGTGTTCCTTAGCATCCTTAGCAACAAGGTCAACATACCAAGTAATGCTAGGGAAAGTTAGGCTTTGCCTAAAGTCCATGAGCAACCCAATGAAACCAATTTTACAGTAATCTCTAACGGTAAAGTTTCTGTGACCTGATTTATGGGGGAGGGGGAATTGGCATAAAGGTGATGAGATAAAAATAAACGGAAGTAGAAATATTAGGTAGACATGCAAGGACACACGATCTAAACAATCATCTTTCAATCCTATGTGAACCCAAAGCACCTTTCCATAAAGCATCTCAGGGGTCATGGCAATAACCCTTTGAAACATATAGTAAGGATTTACTAGGAACCAAACTCTTAATTTAGGGGGTCCAATTAACTCTTAGGTTTGACTCAAGCCAAATCTCCCCCACTCCAGTTTTCCCAAGATGGCATCTGTTAGGTGGTCAGCTAGCCTTGCTGTGAGTTGCTCAGTGGCAAGATTCACATTGCCACCAAATCTTTTGTTGACCAGTTTTTATTCTTGTTCTTGTGCTGTTGTTTAGTACTGAGCAAAGATTGGTCTTCCTATAATGTCAACTAAAATATGTTCCTCTTCCAGTAGCACTCTTTGTATCAAAGAAGTCATTTGTCTTTTTATCTTTTTCAGTAGTAGGGCTTGAACTCAGGGCCTGGGTGCTGTCCCTGAGCTCTTTGAGCCACAGCACCACTTCCAGTTTTCTGGTGGTTAATTGGAGTCTCATGGACTTTCCTGCGCAGGCTGGCTTTGAACTGCAATCTTCATGTCTCAGCCTCCCAAGTATCTAGGATGACAGGTGTGAGCCACCAGCACCTGGCAAAGAAGTCATTTTTCAAATTTTATAGCTGCCCAAGATAAGATCTAGGAACAAACACAACCCCCGTTTACAATTCTAGCTCTGAAAAACACTCTCTTCTCTCTCCTTCCTTTACTTTCCAAAAGGTGGACTCTGAACCTGTTTTATTCTACCCATGGCTCCTACTGAACAGGATAATAGGAGGCAGGTAGGTAGGTAGATAGATAGGTAGGTAGGTGGATATTCAGAGGAATGGACAGAAAGATAGACGATAGATAGGTAGATCCATCCATCCCTGCACATCTGAAATACAGCCATCAAAGTACTGTCCATAATTATCCCCTATTTGGCTTTATCCTGGCTTGTTTATAACAAGCCCTTGGAACCTGGAAATAAGAATCTGCTTTCAAGCAGCCATTTGATTTCCTCAATAAGCTGCATTCAATTACTCAGGCTGTTTATGAGCTCTAAATCAGATGTATTTCTGTACAGAGAAAAGCAATCATTTGTCCAATTGGCCTTGCTCATACACACAAAAGGATGCAGTAAGAGCCTGCAGATAATATAACAAGGTTCTTACTTGTTGAAATTTTTGATAAACAGCAATGTCAAGATTTCAGTAGTCACAAAAATAACAGAAATGTAATTTTTTTAGGTCATGCTTTTGCAAGTCACACGTGTAAATATCAGCCAACTGCTTCCATTAACAAGAGTATCCCCTGTTAACTTTTATATTTTTTCAAGATGAATAATAATAAACTAATTCCCAAGCTTTCCGTTCACTCTCCTGTCCATCATGCCAACTTAAGCATCCAGTCTTCAGATCCACCTTTTAAGAAAGACTTAAATCAGATTTCAAAAGACTCCTTAGAATCAGATTCAGAAAGCCTCACCCAAGAGATTAAGTCCCAGTCTGAAGTTGAGGGCCAAGACCAGAACAAAGATATGGAGCCTGACAGCTTAGAGGAAGACAACCCTGACCAGGAAAGCCTGAGTGAGACAGAAGAGGAAGCAAGCAGAAAAGCAGCTCAGATGGCCAAAGAGAGAGACTTCCGCCTTGGGGACAGGTAAGGAACTGGCTTGTGTTCGGCCGTGTTCAATAGTTGCTGGCACTGTTGCTGATGCTCTCCCAGAGTGTGCCACACAGCCCTCCAAGCATCTAGGGACAATGTGGCTCTCTGTTTTATGCTACATTCTTTTACTTCTTAAATTAAAGAGTAGAAGCTGGGTGCTGGTGGCTCAAGCCTATACTCCTAGCTACTCAGGAGGCTGAGATCTGAGGACTGAGGTTCAAAACCAGCTTGGGCAGAAAACTCATCTCCAACTGACCACCAAAAAAAAAATCCAAAGGTGGAGCCAGGGCTCAGGTGGTAGAACACATTGCTGTGGATGTCAAAAAGTACAAATAATTGGGGGCAGAATCCTACCTCGCTCCCTTCTTCAGGCTAGTGGAAGTCCATCTCCAGGTCTTGTCTGATCATACACAGATTTATTTTAATAATCAAGATGCACATATGAGACTTAACTTTATGCTATGAGCTGCCTAACAATGGAAGGGAATATAAAATAACGCAGCAATATCTCTTTGTTTTAATAAAGTGCTAGATGATATGATAACGTGCAGAAGGGATTAAAAACTATTGGCTAGAAAAGGGGAGAGAAGTGTGTAGAATATGAGGCATACCTCATGAGTTTAAATACTGCTTCTGCAACTTACTAGCTGTGTGGCCTTAGCCAACAACACTTAATGCCGTTGGGTCTCAGTTTCCTTGTCAGTAAATATGGGGTCCTGATTACCTTACATATGTAACTGTAACCCCTCTGTACATCACCTTTAAAATAAAAAAGGGAACAATAATAATAATAACATTTATAGAGATACCGTAAGGAAACACACACACACACACACACACACACACACACACACACACACACACAGAGTTGTGCTTGGGTCATCTCCAGTTGTCATTTTGCCCCATGCCCTGTGCACACCTTTTGTGGCCCTTAGAAACAGAATTTGATTAAGGTGTGTGCATCCAGATGTTTGCAGGCTGATTCCCAGGAGAACAAGCATTTCCACAGCACCCACAGTGCCTGGGAGTTCTCATGCCTCACAATTCCCCAGACTTTTTGTCATCTGCTACTCTGTCAAGCTAGAAAATCCTGCCTTTTCTCTGACAACTTATGCTCATGTGTATAGCAAGAGGAGATCAATATCTCCACATTCTTTGGCTACTGGTTCATTTTAGTTAACAAAATATTGTGGGTTTATTTTCTTTCTGTATTTGTAAGTGTGAATTTGCATTGTGCTATAGTATTCCACTGCCCAGAATATGCCATGATGTGATCATCCAGTTGCCCAGGCTGGACATTGTAATATTGGAATACCCCCAGTTGTGTTTTGTGGGGTGTGCTTTAACTTTGGTACTCATGAAGAGATTGGCAGAGCCTGATTAAATGTGAAAGTTGAAGGAATAAACCAAAGAAGGCATGGGCCTAGCCTGGCGCCCGTGGCTCACGCCTGTAATCCTCGCTACTCGGGAGGCTGAGATCTGAGGATTGCAGTATAAAGCCAGCCCAGGCAGGAAAGTCCATGAGACTCTTATCTCCAGTTAACCTCCAGAAAGCTGGAAGTGGCACTGTGGCTCAAGTGGTAGAGCACTTGCCTTGAGCTGAAGAGCTGAAGGGCAGTGCCCAGGCCCAGAGTTCAAGCCCCACGATCAACCAACAACAATAACAGAATGTCTGTCAGGACGTCATCTCTGTGCTGAACACCACAGGTATTATCTCATTTAATCCTTATGCCCCAGCCGGGGAAGGAAGATACTACTACAATCCCATCTGAGAGGTTTCAAATGAGGTTTCAAGAGGTTGTATTAATGCCCACCCCTTGCATCTACTGAGTGGCCAGGCGGAAAGCTCAGGTGGTCTGACTCATGCTCTCAACCTGTTTTCATCCTGGCTTTAACCAAAGAGCTTCATCATCTCCTTGGTAGTAAATGGTAGTCGCTTTATTTACAGAAATGGGAGCATGAGAAAGAAAAAAAAATCCCCTGCCTTGTACAAAGTATTTCTTATCTGTACTTTTAAAATGAAGAAACCAAAGCAGGAATCCATTAAATGACTTTACTTCCCCAGGAGTTCAGAATGGTTTTCTTTTGTGTATTGCTAAGGGACCCGACTTTAGTCCTGTTCTTTACCAAAGGACAATTTACTACTTAATGTTTCCAAAATAGAGAATAATGCTTACAGAAATAAAATTTCCAATTAGATTTTTAGTCTTCTGATTCAGAGGTCCTTGGATAATGCTGTTTTCTTCCTCCTGACTTGCCTTGGAAGTGTTTAATGATAGCCTTTACGCCACAGGGCAGGGTTAAAGTGGATTTTTAACTCTAGTCATTGTTAAAGGGTCGTGCTTTATTCATTGGACTTGGGAGGGTCAGCTCCATATGAGGAAGGGACACAGAAGCAAAGCATTTGGCCAAATACTGAATGTCTTACAAATGTAATTCAGATGCAGTTAGATATTGGCCTTTTTCTCTGCCTTAAGTCTAAGGAACCTTAGGTGTATTGTTTATGTCTGAGTAGTTATGAGCTGTGATACAAATAAATTGATCTCAAGCTCTCAACATGAAATTCAAGTAGTAGGCTTTCATTTCTGTGAGGGTAGGTGGCATTCTGGGGATTGTAGTTCAAAAAGAATTAGTCAAAGCCTGGCCTTAAACCCAACAAATCTCTTTCTTCTTGCTTTTATAAGCAATAATTTTAAAAGCTGCCTGGCAATTCACTTAGCCCTACTCTTGTGTTTTGATGTTACCAGAACCTCCCAAAGTGAAAGCTATAGTTCGGTGTATATGGATTATAGAAAACCTTTTACTTAATAGAAATTGGATCAGCCTGGACAGTACTGAATGAAGGAAGAGTGGAGAGAGGATCTTCATGTGACAGTCCTTAACCCACTCCAGAACAAGCCTTATGACACTCAGCACTCATGAAGAAAGAGCTCCATGTAATGCCTAGGGCACCAAAATAACCTCTTCAGACCTGGAGCCATCTGAAGGCTTCTACTTCGGGTTCTTGGTTTTTTGTTTTTTTGTTTTTTTTTTTGGGGGGGGGGCCGGTCGTGGGGCCTGAACTCTGGGCCTGGGCGCTGTCCCTCAGCATTTCAGCTCAAGGCTAGCACTCTACCACTTGAGCCACAGCGCCACTTCTGGCTTTTTTCTTTTTGCTTATGAGGTGCTGAGGAATCGAACCCAGGGCCTCAGGCATGCAAGGCAAGCGCTCTCCCACTGAGCCACCTTCCCAGCCCCCCCTTGGTTTCTTTTTATCAGCAGCAATTCACTGCCCAGGGTGTGTCTAAGGCATCTTGCCAATAGGAATACATATATAATTACTAATATTTGTAAGACAGTTTATACTACGTATACAGTCTTGTTCTCCTTCCACAAGCCTCTGAGAAAGGTACATGCAGAGTGTGCACTCCACCACTGAGCCCTGAGCCATCATTAACCTAACTAAGACTTCAATATGATGTAGTACATGTAGTTGCAAAATGGCAAAGCCAAGCCGGGCGCCGGTGGCTCACGCCTGTCATCCTAGCTACTCAGGAGGCTGAGATCTGAGGATCACAGTTCAAAGCCAGCCCGGGCAGGAGAGACCGTGAGACTCCTATCTCCAATAAACCACCAGAAAACCGGAAGTGGCGCTGTAGCTCAAGTGGTAGAGCGCTCGCCTTGAGCTGAAGAGCTGAGGGACAGCGCCCAGGCCCAGAGTTCTAGCACCATGGCCGACAAAAAAAATGGCAAAGCCAGACATTGAATTGAGTTCTGTCCTAACCCCAAAGCCTGAACTTCTAAGTATCAAAGTAGGTAGTTGTGGATTGAGCTCATAAAGGATTTTTTTTTTTTTTGGCCACTCAGGGCCTGGGCACTGTCCGTGAGCTTCTTTTGCTCAAGCCTAATGCTCTACCACTTGAGCCACAGCACCACTTCCGTTTTTTTCTGTGTGTATGGTACTGAGGAATCGAACCCAGGGCTTCACACATGCTAGACAAGCACTCTACCACTAAGCCACATTCCCAGCGTAAAGGATTCTTGTGCTCTCTTGTAAAGATTAAAGCTACAACAACCCCAGTACCAACTAAATATGCATGTGATATTAAATCTTGGTGAGGAAATACAATTGTTTGAAGGATATCATGTCCTCACAGTAGACACTCATGCCGTTTCACATGAGTGCTGCTGTCCTGCTAGCCTTTGTCCTTCAGCCCCTCCCACAGGAAGCAGACCCATTGGCTTCCAGTGGGCTCTGCCAGGGTCCACAGAGAGCCTTATCCTTTCCAATAACCCTCCTCGTGCTAGAAATTGATGGGAGAGGGACAGGAAGGAGGAGAAGGAAATTATGGAAGGTGAATGATACCTACACTCATTGCATCTGTGTATGTGAAACAAGAAATGGGAGGTGGATAGATACAGTGAGGAATTGTTTGCTTTTTTTTTTTTATTATTTTTTTTTGGTCCGGTCGTGGGCTACTTCCGGCTTTCTTTTTTCCTTTTTGCTTATGTGGGGCTGAGGAATCGAACCCAGGGCCTTATGCATGCAAGACAAGCGCTCTACCACTGAGCCACCTTCCCAGCCCCGAGTGAGGAATTGTTTGCTAAATTGAATCTATGAGCATTGTCTGAAAGTAAAAAAAAAAAAAAAAGACGGTAACAATAATTTGCATTTTTATTGTTTTATTTGTTCCTCTCAAATGCTTTTAGAATGTGTTTCTGATGAATCGTGTGAGATCATTTCTGGGCCTTGAAGAGGAGTGCTGGAGAATAAACTCTGGCGTAGTGATTCTGAGCAGGGCTTCCTGAGCACTGAAGCTCAAGGGTTACATTCCTTCCCAAGTTTCCCAGGAAATTTAGTAGAACATTTTGAACATTTAACATTTAAACTCAGGATAGATCACTGCCCTTTACAGCTATTGTAGAATTGTCTTTGTTTCATTTTTGTTTTGAGAGAGAGCTAGTAAGGAAAGGCAGTTGAGGCTAGTTCTAATAGTGTAGGCAATATTATTACC